GATCCCTGAAGCAACTGCGGGCACTCGACCTTCCTATGGCCAGTCTGGTTGCAATGGAAGCAAACCGAAAATCGCATGGGGCAATCCCTCACGATATGCCCCTCCTTCCCGCACTTGTAACACACCTGCTCTGCACACCCCATCATGGCTCTTGCCGCACTTCCCACAAGTGCGGCCCTTCTGACCTCCCGGTCTCGAATCAGCGGGCTTTTCCCGCTTGGCCGCCGGCTGAGACTGTGTCGGCCGCCTATCCCTCCTCTGAGACTCCGCCTCCTCCCTGGCCTGAGTCTCTAGCTCAATCTCCCTCTTCCGAGCATTTGCCTGGAGCTCGGCAAACGTTCGGTATGTCGAGTTCTCCACGAACTCGCGAATGCCTCTCCTCAGAATGCTCAGATCGCGGCTCATACGTGCCTGCTCAGTAGACACGTGCTCAGGGCAAAACAACGCCCTCTCATGAAACATCTGTGTGATCACAGTCACAGACTCAGTTCCCTGCTTGAGGGACAGGAACTCCTGGGCCAACCGTTCCCACTCTATCGGGGAACGTACTCGTCTCGAAACATAGCGGTGAACCTCTCCCAAGTCACCGCGGTAAGCTCTGCAGTAGTAAAGTCAGCTGTCACAAACTTCCACCAGTCCTTCGCTCCCAAGCGAAGCTGGTTCAGCGCGAACCGTACCCTCAGATGCTCCGGACAAGAACATGTGTAGAAGCATCCCTCAATGTCAGAGATCTATCTCATCGCGGCTATCGGATCCTGAGTCCCATCAAACTCTGGTGGCTTCGTGTTGCTGAACTCCCGGTACAGCAACGAGTCACCCCCCTGTGGCCTAGCAGAGGCAACAGCTGCGGTGGCCGTAGCAACAACATCATCGGTAAGAGCAGCGTACCACTCGTCAAATGTATCAATCAGCGTGGTATTGATAGACCCAAACATCTCTGGTATCTCAGCTCAAATGGCTGCAACCACCTCATCATGAATCATCATGCGAATCTCATCATCGCTAACACCGCTGCTCTCTGGAGTGTGGCGCGTACCCACCATGATGTCTCTAAAACACAACACAAAAGAAATCAGAGACTCGCTCGAGCATTCTCGCACTCAACTACTCAACCCTACTTGCTCCTTAGTACCCTAAGGATTCTTACTTGGGCTGCTCACTGATCCAGTGTTTCCAGTAGTATGGGCCCTATACTACCTTCCACACCACATCAGTTTGCACCCCAAGTCCTCCTCCTAGGATTCTAGTTCACAAGTACCCTATATCTCGCTGAGCGCAGGCTACCACCCAGTAGACCTCTCATAAGCTCCTCTCTGCTACCTACTCACACTCGAAGAAATTCATAGCAGCAGTAACTCCTAGGCTAAGGCATCACAAATCAGGCCCACTCTAGTCCTAAATATGAATACCTAGCCTACTCTAGCATGCATAACACATCTCATAACACATAATGTAAGGGTATTTTGGGAAATCACCGTTCGGGGGCTGGCTGATTGTACACACTGCTCTTTTCCGCTTTTCCTGGAAATCTTTTACTCTTTTAGAAAAATTGTTTCTTTTTGAAAACTTTTCTCAAATCCTCAGTTTGAGTCCAGATATGCCCGAAGGTGTATCCGAATCCCTCAAACCAAGGCTCTGATACCAACTTGTAACGACATGATTTTTTCAAAACAAAATTTTCAATTTTAAAACTCATAAAACATATGTCCCATCCTTCATTCTCAAAATCAACCAACAAGTTTTCAAAACAATTATTCAAATCCAGGATCCACAATCATAGCTTCATATCAAGAGTGTGTGTGTACAATCACGTCGGTGCCTTCCCGCGATCCTCAGAAGTACCTGAAACACATAATACATAACACGGTAAGCACGGGTGCTTAATGAGTTCCCCAAAATACCACATACAATAATTCGCCACTCGAGGCTATACTTCCGTAAGACCCTCCGGTCTATGTGTCTCAGCAGGACCCTCCAGTCCCGTAGCTCGTTGGACCCTCCAGTCCAGTCTGATTGAGAACCCTCATGCCTCATAGTTCGTTGGACCCTCCAGTCCGGTCTAAGCAACAAATAATATAGCATACAATACATATCACACAATCATGCATGCATAACTCAAGCAAGCACATAAGACCCTCTGGTCACATATAACTACCACTCTAGGTAAAGTATAGTGAGAAGACTCACCTTGAAGTGAGCAAGCTAATACACCTCGTACACGAATCACCGATCTAGCCTCCGCCTAATACATGCGATGATTATCTCTAATTAGACCATAATACTAATAAACTCATTCTAACCCCTCTCGAACTCTTGGTAAGGGCAGAAGACCCTTCTACCCCTCCATGGTCCCCATTGCTCATATTTGGTTAAAGCTCCAAAAGTCAACAAAAGTCAGACTTGAGTCAACAGTTCATGTTGACTCAACTCGTCGAGTGCACCTGGAAGACTCGTCGAGTTCCCTGGTTCCCTCAGGGACCTTGTGAAGACCAACTCTACACGTCGAGTAGGCCCGCCTACTCGTCGAATCACAGCGTGCTCAGACTTATCGGGACAAACCCCAAGCGACTCGTCGAGTCAGATCATGGACTCGGCGAGTGCATCCAGTCTATATTCCCATTCAGACGTTTTAAGGCAGATCTATCACTCCAAACTCTAGATCTAGGCTCCCTAGGCTCGAATGTCACGTAAAGCTTCGATCTTTACGTTCATGCATGACATATTTGCTCCAATATGCCATTACAAGCTCCAAAGAAGGTTGAAAGCACATGAGCTTGCCTCTAGCTCAATAAAGCTTGACTCTTTGGGCTCTCAAGGCCTCCTATAGTCCAGATCTGAGGTCCTAACCTCAAACCATGCTCAAATAACTCAAGGACACAAGATGATTGGAAGAAAACCCTAAAAGCTCCCAAAATGGGATCTAACAAACAAGAGGTCAAGATGAGAGCTTTATACCTCTGAATAGCAGCAGATGACAGAAGAATGTAAGATCCACAGCCTCCTCTTGATTAGATTCACCAACTCTTCCAATCTTTCCTCCAAAAAGCTCAAGAAGGCTCAAGATGGCCTCTCTCTCTCTCTCTCTCTCTATGCACGAAAAGGGCAGGGTTAGGGTTTTTCTCTGGGGAAGGTGGCTGCAAGGGAGGCTATAAGTGCCTTTAAATAGGTCTCAAACCCGGGGATCTAGGGTTTTTACTCCCAGCGCCTACTCGACGAGTCTACTCCCGGACTCGTCGAGTAGATCATTAAATCCACGTGGCCATCCCGACTCTACTCGGCGAGTTATAGCGCCAACTCGTCGAGTAGGTCAATGATCCTTTAAAAAAATAAATACTTAAAATGACATACCTGGAAATCTGGATGTTACAGGCAACATGCAGGTATATAGTATTATTCAATTTGTTTTTGATTATTTGTTTGAAAAATATTTTTTCAAAATAACATTGTTTTATGGTAGGCTCCAGAAATAGAAATCACCCCAGCTCCAAATGAAATACTATCTCCAGAACCAATAAACAACCTGGAATGTGCAGGTATATCGGTACTAACTTGGTATCTATACATGTACATATTTTTTTTCACATAGTTGTTTACTAACTTGGTATCTATAAATGTACATATTTTTTCACATACTAACTTGGTGATTCACATATGAATTACATGTGATTCACATGTAATTCACATGTAATTCACATATGAATTACATGTGATTCACATGTAATTCACATATGAATCACATGTGACACACATGTAAATCACATATAAATCACATATGAATTACATGTGATTCACATGTAAATCACATATGAATTACATGAAATTCACATATGAATTACATGTGATTCACATATGAATTACATGTGATTCACATGTAAATCACATATGTATTTTTGTGAGTGTTTCCATCAATCATATTCTTTTTAATTTTCATGTAGATTTGAAAGAAATTGTTGTGAATATTGAAGAAATGAAAAATGATAAATTAAAGAAAATATGGAACTATTGACACGAAGACATGAAAATGCTTTGAAATTTTGTAACATATTTTTGTTTTTTATATTTTATATTGTATCGAATAAAATAATTATTGTATTGTGTTTATAGATTAGTAAATAAAATGAGTTTTCTTATGATTTTCTTACAAATATTATAGTATATGAAATATGCCTTTGTAAAAATATGCATAAATGTACCAAAAATGTTGATTTTTTTGGTTAAAAAGATATAGTATTTTTTAAATATTCCAGTTTTTTTTATTGATTTTTAAATGTTTTTAAAAAATGCAGTTTTTTTTAAAAAAATATTTTTTTCAATTTTTTTTCAAAAATTCATGTTTTCTATAAAAAACTAAAAAATCTGCACTTTTTTTTAAAAAAAACTGAAAAATACTATTTTTAAAGAAAACTAAAAAATACTATTTTTTTTAAAAATCTGCAAAACACTGAATTTTTTTTTCAAAAATTCATGTTATCTTTAAAAAATTAAAAAATCTGCACTTTAAAAAAAAACTGAAAAAAATACTTTTTTTAAAAAAATCCGAAAATTTGATTTATTATGTAATTTTTTAGACATTTCTATTAAGATGTAGAATAACACAAAAAATTAAACATTAAATGAAATCGATAATATTACGATCATGCCCTTGATGAATTAGTTTTGATCTAACGCTCCACTTTTAGTTCTCAGGTTTTCGGGAAACTATGAGTTCTCAACCGATCTCAACCCTATATATATATATATATATATATATATATTATATATATATATATATATATTATATATATTATATATATATATATATAATTGCACTCAGAAGAATTTACTGATTTGCAGTGTTCTTTAAAATCAATGACTAATTACTAAACCAAAGATTAAAAGCTTGAAACTCCAATAAAATAATGCCAATATACCCTCAAAAGGAGGATCGCCATGTAAGAACTAGGTTTTTGTAGTGCAAATATATGTTTCTAGAATGATAACTAAGAAAAGTATAATATCATCTCTATGAAAGTTAAGCAACCATATTGTAATGTTATAACTATAACGTGACATAAAATACATGTGTACAAACACGACTACACTAATCATACATGATCTCTACACATTCTCTACAAAGCGGTACTAGAAAAATGAAATGAATGGTGAATGTTCCATTTTAAAATATGAAACACATAAAAGAGAAAAGGAGAGAGAGATTTAAACTCTGAGTTTCAAGATTTGGTTATAAACCAACTATTGAAATAAATTATGAAAATTGATTGCAAGTTATGAAGCAGATGAAATATTGGACACACAAAAGGATTCAAAGCGTGGTTCAGTTAAATCAACAGTGACTTCATCATCTCCACCATGTGAACGGGGACCTGTAACTGGTTCTTCATTTTCATGAGGGGTATGCACAAGCAATGAAGATTCAGACGAAAATGATCTACTGGATGACATTTGTTGAAGCTCGCGTTCCATTCTAATGGTGTAATCCTATTTAAGAAATTAAGATTTGTTTCAGAACGCAGACTTAACAGAGACAAATTCAAATTCAAAGTCAAAGTGAAACCTGAAAGCGGTCAACGGAAAAATTCCTCCTTTTAGATTTTTCTGGTGCTATAGTTAGAAGTATCTGAACAACTTCACTCATTGTTGGGCGAGCATCAGGATCCAACAACAAACACTCTTTTGCTAAATAAGCCATCACTTGCATCTCTTCTTCTTCAAACTTCCCTTTCAGACGTGGGTCCGGCAGTTCCTTACTCACTCTCCTGCTATCTTGTAAAAGTGGTGTCGCCTGAAAATTATCATTTCTTTTACTAAATTACATTTTTGATCCCCAATAATTCTTATTATTGCAATCTTCGTCCTTATTTAGTAAAAGAAAATATAAGATTAAGAAAAGAGTAAAAAATAATACAGTAATGACTAACCCAAATCACAAGGCTCTCTTCCCCTTTGTCTTGTGACTTGTATATTGGATGCCGACCACTAATAAGTTCAAGAAGCACAACACCAAAACTAAAAACATCTGACATCAGCGATGCCCTTCCAACAATCGCATACTCAGGGGCAAAATAGCCAAATGTCCCCTGCATTCTAGCAGGTGAGCTAGAACAGCTTGGAACACCATCACTCACCAAACTCTTAGCCATTCCCAGATCAGTAATCTACCAACAAAATCATCACATATTTAAAAATCAAAACTTTATTAATATTCAGAAATGTGATATTAAAAATTATTAATCCCAATTCCCACCTTTGCTCTCCAGTTGTCATCCAAGAGAATATTAGTGGATTTAACATCTCTATGCAGGATTCTTGGTGCAGCTGCTTCATGAAGATATTCCAACCCTCTAGCAGCTCCAATGGCTACTGCAATGCGGGCCCCCCAGTCTAGACATTTTTCTGAAACCCCATCTAGACACTCTCTCAGGTTGCCATTTGGCATGTATTCAAACACCAAAAGCATCTCAGGTTGTTTTGTGTGGTATTGATATTCCAAACAGTACCCAAGTAATGGCACCACATGACAGTGATGGAGTCTTGACAGCAGTTCAATCTGAACAGAAATTGAAATATTTTGCATTTATATCATAAAACCAGATATATATTTAACTAATTGTTAATTAGTCATTACCTCTGTTAAAAATGTTACTTCAGCATCTGGGCCTCCTCCTTGAGATTTAAGACGTTTGACCGCAACAAGTTTACCATCTTTGAGTTGACCATAGTAAACATGGCTACTTACCCCAACCCCAATTAAATTAGTTTCAGAGAATCGATTGGTTGCGGTTTCTAATTCAGAATATGGAAAGCTTGTGATTGTTCCTTGAACAGTTCTTGTTTGTTTTCTAAACAAGACTGAAGCCTTGTATATAAACCCTGTGATTGGATTTTTAGGAGAATGGATGTATATTTTGGAGTTTTGGAGTGAAGATGTCTTGTAGCTGATTAAGTTTGTACTACTGTTGTAACTTGTATCTTTATCAGATGATGATGATAAAGGAGGTTGTTTTTTAGGGCATGTATGCTTTCGATATATGTAGAGGCACATTACTGAAGTGAAAATTGCAAGAGTTGTGATCACCATGCATAGCAATAAGATGATTAATACAGCTTTGCTGGAAAATTGTTTCTTTAAAGATTGTGCCTCACTCAAAGATCCTGTGAACAACAACATGATGTGTAAGATTTTTGTATTTATTAATTCTAGGAATAATGGAACATCAAGATTTAATTTACCAGAATTGCAGTTGCAGGACATGAAGCAATTACTTTCATGACTTGTAGCCACTTCAGGGAGTTTGTCACTGGGACATGTGCATTTCCATTTGTTTTGACTTGTATTTTCTGTGTTTTTAACATTTTGTTCGTAAATGTATATATATGTATTAATTATTAAATATGTATATACTTTAATCTAAATAGTCAAATCATACCAGAGATGCAGTTACAGGAAGAAGAGCAGTTTGGTGGAATGATAACATGATGGTTTAGTTCGTTTGCATAGCATGTACATGTCCACTTGTTTATATCTGGGGTCTCTGCAACTTCATCTGTTCAAATTAAAGCAACAATTTAAGCTAATTTGATTATTAGATAAAATGATGATCAAGAGTTAATTTAGAATTATAACAATGCTAGAGTTGATATTAACTGCAAATGATGTGCTGAATCAAGATCAAGCTGATAAAGCAAGCCAAAGCAACTTCCAGTTGGATCTTCATCTATTTGGATGAATCTGAAGACATCAAGACTAATCATGAGTAGCAGAAACAAACCCGGAAATTAAAAAAACATATAAACTGATAAAAGACTGTGTAGAACATAGAAAAAAAAAAGAGATCAACTAATTTAAGAAACAATGGACATGCTAAAAAAAGTAAAGAGTAGCCATAACCAAATAACCAAACACAAGGTAGACCAACAACCTCTTTTACTTAAAATTTCTCATTAACAATGTGTTAGGTGAAATAGTAACATATATAATGAAAAGAAGCTCTTTCTCACTGAAGAAAATACATAATGGGTTATATTATAGCTTAATTACATTGCTAAAAAGGGAAAGTTTGTAGTTTGCGACTTTATGCATGGACACCCACCTTAATTAGAAGCTTAAATTAAATGAAGATTCACATGGAAATGCCAGATTAACAATATGAGTATTATGACTAATATTGCTACAATATTATGTTATAAGTTCCATAAAGTAGTAAATCAATAGCATAAAGGAGGAAGAGAAGCTAAACAAAATGCAGTCAATATATTATACTTACAAAAACACTTCATTGTTTCTGCATATATGTTTGCTAATTTGCTATTATCTCCAAGTGGGATACAGATGAAGGATATAAAAAGGAGGTGAAAGCTATACCAGAGAGCATTGATCAAAGACCGACAATTAATCTCAGGCAATATCCATCACATATTAAAACAAAAATGTCAAATTTGATTGAAATTGACATATATTAGTGAGTTGATGAGAGATTTGTATTAAAAATAGAAAGATTAAAATAAATCACCCTCACCCACTTATCTCAGGCTACGAGAGTCGCCTCTTAGCTAATTGGAAAGCGACTCCTCAACCAATTTCAAACGAATACATATTTAATAATCCACCCCCACACAATTATCAAACTTATTTAATTGATCAGTAGTGCTTGATGCCATCATTTTGCATACTTTTTAGAGTTTTGAAACAGGAATGATTTCATTGCAACAGTTTTATAACGGATAAAACAAAATATCCGATTATCCTTGCCTTCAAAGAAAAGAAGGTTGTTTGTATCTAATTCTTGAGCAATGCTTGAAAAAGCTTAAAGTATTGTAAATCCGACCCCACATATATCGTGTCGGCTGCCCGGACATGAACATACAGTCCATTTTTATCATCATGAACCCTAACTTGTACTTCGTGCTTGTATTGTTGTATATCTCGTTGAAACATCCTTTTCGTTTCAAATCAACAAGTATTAAGAAGCTTGAATTCAGCGTAGATTTTTCAACAACAGTATCGTTGAAACATAAGATCAAGTAAAATGGCGAATCGTAAATTCGTACCTAATAATAACAAGAAAGAGATTGACAAATATGTACGCGCTTCCACCAACGACACTCTGCTTTACTCCGACACCTGTCCAATAAACAGAGTACCTAGGTGTCAAAATCTTCAGGAATGAAATTTTGACAATTATATGTGGTTCAGATGAAATTAGATTGAACTCACAAATGAAGAGAATGCAAGCTGTAAATCTGCTAACGAGCTGAAATTAGTCTCGAAAAAATTCGTAACAACGCCAGAGACTTGTTGAATTGGACTCAAAAACCGGTTCTCGTGTAACGATCAATCGAACTCCCGAAGCTACAAACAGCAGCTTACTGAGTGGGAAAAAAAGCTTGAAAAAGTATCTAATGGCGGAGAGCTACAGTGATCGCCATTGGTGATACTCGACTGTTTTCGTGTAGAGAGAGATGCAACGGTCGGCTGTTGTGTGAGCTCCGAACACGCAGTTCGAGAAGTTGCAGAGGAGGAGGATGAGAGAAGGTGGTGGTGGTGGAGCTTTTGGAGTTCAGACTATCTTCTAGTTCTCGTCATTTTTTACACATCATCGGCCATGGTCCCTACTCTCCACATGCCTTTATTGCTTTTGTGAATTACGCATTTAATTCCTTGTCAAATGTAAAACACGCAGATTTAGTCCCTAGAAATTAGTTGTATCAATCTGGAGCCCCTCTCGTTTGTGAATGCATGAAAGAAAGATTTTTATGGTATCTCTCTATCTTGTTTCATAAAACAATTAAATTTTATATCATTTTCTTTCGAACAGATATATTCACACATTCACTAAATCAACTTTTAAATTTATATATTTTAAAGACATTTTTACAAAACATTTAATATTATCTGTTGGTACATATTTTATATCATTAATTTGTTTCTTATTTCCTTTTATTTATTTCTTAAAATTGATTAATTATTAGCTTTTTAAACTTGCATTATTTATAAAATATATTTTATATTTCAGAAGTATATGATAAACTCATTATTATTATCAATATATTATTGATTTCATTTCATAAAATTGTTCTTTAAACTTGCACTATTTGTACTTTGGACAAATGGAGCCATCTTATTTTAGGAGAAAAATTCTAAAAATAAGCAACTGACTTTAAATTATTAAATCTTAAATGATATATATATATATATATATATATATATAATAAAAGTCTCAAGTATTCATTTTCTTATCTAAAATCTAGTCATTGTTTTATATACCTAAATGGTGTTAGACTTCCAAAATATATTAAATAACAAATGTTGAAAACGAGTGGCATAATTCATTTTCTCTAACAACTGTCAAATTATAACTTTTTCAAAATAAAATAAAATAAAAGTCTAAAAAGGATCATTCTACCATAAAAGTTTTCTTGTTCTACAATTGATAGGGGACACATTTTTATCGTTGCTGCCACTTAAGGGCTAAAATTGTCATTTTGTATTCATAAGGGCTAAGTTTTGTAAATTGTCCAAATAGGTTTTGATGAAATCCTTGTTGGATCTTGGGGCAGTCAAACCTATATCCTTACAGTGCATCCCCAATACAGGAGAACGGACCACTTCAAAAACAGAGCTTAAAATCCTTCCCTCTTAAAATTTAGCCCTTTGCTTTTTCAGGTTTTGTCTTTAAACTACCCTCGTATTCTTTTTTCGCTTTCTTGGAAAGTGAGAATCCGTCTTGGTTATTTAATTTTAATAATTAAATAATAGTAATTATTTTAATATGTAGGGAATGACGGGCAATAATTATTTTAAAAGTAAACCCATTATAGTTTACTGTGTTGTTTTACATTTATGGAAAATGACTTTGGAAGGTAATTAATTTTTTAGCAAGTTTATAGGTAACTATTTTTTTTTAAACATATAGGAAACAAACTTGTTGGAAGTGTTCATATATGACCATTATGACCGGCTGTAGCATGTTAGATCTTAGATGTGAACACTTTCAACAAGTTCGTTACCTAGATGTGTAAAAAAAAAAGAATTACCAAATTTGAACAAAACGAAAAGTAATACTCCCTCCGTCCCAAAATTATTGTTCACCTTATTATTTTAGTTTGTCCCAAAATTATTGTCCACTACCAAAAGTAGATATACACTTTTACCATATTACCCTAACATTTAATAAAGTAAACTTGAATAATTACAAACACACATTTCCCATTGGTTTTAAAAAAGGGCAAGATGGTCATTTTACTAAAAAAGACAAAACTAATGATTGATTTTCTTAATCTATGTGTTTTTTTATCTGTGGGCAATAATTTTGGGACGGAGGGAGTAGTAAATTACGCAAATGGTCCCTGTGGTTTGGGGGAATTTGCGTTTTTGGTCTCTAACTTATTTTTTAACTCGGATGGTCCCTACTGTTTATTTTTGTTGCGTTTTTGGTCCTTGTCTTACCTAAAAAGACTACTGAGCCATTATTAATTTATTTTTTAATTAATTTTCTTATTTATGTATTTATTTTTTATATATTTAAAAAAATTAATAGACCTCACATATTTGTATCTCTTCATCTTTAGTGCTCAATATCATTTGATTTAATAGTTGACCCAGCCCTTGTTGTTTGAAAAAACCCTCCACTTCAATTGATATTTTTTTCACGAAAAGCAGACATGAGATAACAAATCCAGTGTTTCACTAAGATTTCGAATAGTGGTCCCGAATTCAAGTTGATTCTATTTTACCTCTTCTTCAGAGAAAGACGATCAAACAATTCCCAATTATGGTCCTTGCGGATCGGATCATCCCTATAATATACATTGTCTCTTCATCTTTAGTGGGTGAGGAGATACAAATATGTGAGGTCTATTAATTTTTTTAAGATATAGAAAAAAATAAATACATAAATAAGAAATTTAATTAAAAAATAAATTAATAAGGGCACAATAGTCTTTTTAGGTAAGACAGAGACCAAACGCGCAACAAAAATAAATAGTAGGGACCATCCGAGTTAAAAAAAATAAGTTAGGGACCAAAAACACAAATTCTCCCAAACTACAGGGACCATTCGTGTAATTTACTCTTACATTTCATTTTGTTCGGTAACTAATTTTTTTTGGACTAAACTGCAAATTTGGTCCTTGTGGTTATCAAAAAAATGTGGATGAGGTCCAAAAAGTTTTCAACTTGCATGGGTAGTCCAAAATAGAAAACTTTTGTGGTTTTGGTCCCTGTTTAACTTGAAATGACTGTTATGCCCTTTTAATTTCAGTTTTATATTATTTCTTCATTTTATTAATATTTATATAATTAAGAAAACAAGAAACAGGCCTACCTACCCACTTAAGTCATCATCTACTCTCTCTCTCTCTCTCTCTCTCTCTCTCTCTCTCTCTCTGTGGACACAATCCTCCGATCACCACCATTGGAATAAGCTTGATTTCATCTGGTCCCATGCGGTTGCTCTGTCGGAAGTTGCCCAGACGTTGTCTTCTCCGACGACCATACCTGTTGACGACATTCAACCGCAAAAAGTTCTGACGATTACACATCTATACATAATATTGTTTAAAACCACCAAAATATCCCCTAATGCATTACATCTCTCGATGAACATGAACCCTACGAACCTAATCGGGTTTAGACCCAGCTTCACCTTCACCTTCTTTTGTCCTGTTTATTTTATTCACCATGTATACATAATTACTAAGCACACACATAATTTACGAAACACACACACATTACTATTTGTCTTCTATTTCCAACTGAAAACCTCAATACCCCCATACTTTTCACATATTCCTCCCAATCTAGTAAAAAAAACTCAAATTTCTCATCAAATTCAGTTTTAGATCAATTTTTTTTTGCAGAAAGCCATGTATATGGGAATCAAATTTTGTTCCTTTGTGGGATAATTAGGGTTAAAGCAATCCCTGCACACCTCTTCTTTGCGGGATCAATCTCAGAAATTACATAGCTTTCAGAAATCCCACCGAACCTATGACATAGAGACGATTGTGTGTGTGTGTGATCGTCATTCAAAATTTGAAATAGGTGTATGTGTGTCTATGCTCGTCTGTTGAACTCATCACTCCTTCTTTGTGGTTTTCCAATGAGCCACACGAACTTTAAGAGGAAAACCTAACCATCGAATACCAGCCTCGAAAAAGAAGCTCCAGTGGGCGAGTGCTCTTTCTATGGAAGCTCTTTGTTAGCTATATTTAAATCATTTTGTTCTTGGGTCAATGAGGTTTCAAGCTTTGGGTTTGTAAGCCCAGTTGAAGAAGAAAAGGGGTTTCTATGGCTTGATTCAGGTTTTTGTTCATTGATTTGGGATGTTTGGAGAAGACGATGTCTTGAAGGAGTTGTGTGTGTGTGACTGTGTGTAAGAGAGAGAAAGAGATAGAGAGAGGGGTGCGGTGGAACAGGGGTTATGGTGGGTTTTTATTTTTATTTTTTAATTATCAAAATAGTAAAATAAAGACATAAATACTAAAAAATGTAAAAAACAAAATAGAAGGGTATAATAGTATTTTTAAGTTTGACAGGGACCATATCCACAAAAAAGATTCGATTTTGGACAAGTGGTGCAAGTTGAAAAGATTTTGGATTCCATCCACATTTTTTTGATAACCACAAGGACCAAATTTGCAGTTTAGTCTTTTTTTTGTACACATCTAGGTAACAAACTTGTTGAAAGTGTTCACATGTAGGATGTAACCTGCTACAGCCGGTCATAATGGTCATATGTGAACACTTCCAACAACTTTGTTACCTAGATGTGTACAAAAAAAAGATAGTTACCCAGATGTGAACTTACTGAAAACTTAATTACCTTCCCAAGTCATTTCCCTCCATTTATTTGTAGTTTCAGTTTAATTTGTTTAAATACATTTTAATTATATACAACGGTGTATGTTAATATAGTGATACACTTTAACTTTTTTAAGTATAAATTGTTATATAAAACTAAAAAAATATTATGTACAGATTATTTCTTTTAATTTTGACAAGACTTTTTAATATCGTTTTCAATAATTACATTCATGGTTTTTGAGATTATTATTATTATTAACTCTACTCTGTTAAATACTTCTAAATTAACATATTATCCTAACTTTTTCTTTTTCTTTCTATTGGTTTTAAAATTCTGATTGTCAATTAAATAATACCTCCGTCTCAAATTAATTGTCCACATTTGACTTTTGAAGTCTTTATTCTTCAACTTTGACTTTAAATATTTTTCTTTTTTATAGATAATATTTGATGCAAAATATATGAATGGATTGTATTTTAAATGGTTTTTTTATTGTTATAAGTTTCATCAAGTAATATATAACACAAATAAAAATATTTAAGGTCAAAGTTGAAGAGAAAATACTTCAAAAATCAAAAGCGGACAATTAATTTGGAACAGAGTTAGTATGATGTTTCTTTTTATGTGATTATAGTTTTTATGTACTTATCCAAGACGGAGATTATTGTGTTTTTTATGAAAAATCGAATAATGTTTTATCTAATATTGGTATATGGAAGAAAGTTTGGGTGATTTCTAAACTTATAAAAAAAGACTGAGACTTTGGTTTCAAA